TTCATATATATGTTCTTACATATTTGAGATATGTTCTTGGTATATCTAAGAAATTTTAACAATATATTTTTATATATTTTTTATATATACATTCCGTTAAGTTTAAATTGCCAAAAAAGCTTTGTTTCTGGAATCTGTTAATTCTTAAAAATTATTTAAGAAAATACCACTCTTAAAAATCTTAGATTTTTTGAGGGACAAAAGCCAAAGACTTAAATTGGCTTAAATTTAAAATTTAAGCTAAATTATTATGCATCAAATTGAATCCTTAAAACTGAAGGCCAAACGAATCAGTCTCCATTTGAGTGAAAATATTTTTGCTTTAAAGCGACAACGTTTTGAGGTAGAAATAGTTAAACAATCAAAAATTGATTAAGGAACCTTCCTAGCCTACAGCTACAATGGTAGCAAAAAGTATGTTGACAGAGCAAATTGATAAAATTGATAAATTGTTTTGTAGAAGAGAGAACAGTTAAAGAGAGAAAAAACAGACTAAAATGTAGGCAAAATAAAAGGAAAATTTATACTCTATAAAAATCTAAGTTAAATTTCATAAAAAGAAAACAATATGAAGATTATAAAATTAAGATACAAAATTTGAATGCAATGTATACAAAACAAGCATTGAAAAATTCATAAAAAGTAGAAAATGAGCTAGAAATTCACCTATAGATATTTAAATATATAAATATAACACCTTGCTTTTTCCAAGTTCTGCTTTTCATACTACAACTTTTCCTTTATTAGCACATTTGTTCTAGTAGAATGTTTTCCAAACTTTCGCTATAACTTTTTAATAACAGCTTGAGAATCTAGCTCCTATTAAACCCACTGTCATTTTGCCAAATGGACTTATTAATATATTTACTTAAGCAACTAAACTTTTTATGCTTTATTTGATCAAAACTTAGTTTTCTCTTCGAGGTAAAAGTTTTTTTTTCTTTTTGGGCAAGAGTTGCTCCACTACTTTTTGAATAGTTTCTAATGGAAAAATTAAAGACTTTGGCAGTCCGGTGTGCAACACTGGCTGCACCCAAGTGGCCCCAACTCGTTCACTTTAAGTGCGCTTAAAATGCAAATGCCCGATGTTAGGGTATGCAAAGTTGAAACGACAAACGACAAATGACAAAACGAGTAAAGAAAACAAAACAAAGAGCACAAAGAGAAGAAGAAGCAGAACGAGAAAGAATTAGCAATAAACGTGCGCGCACGCGAAGCCAGCCCCAAAGGTGGAGCTGTTGGCGACCCCGCCTCAGGGGTAAAAGCAAAACTCCTCCCCCCCTTCACTTCCTCCCCCTGCACCGCTGTTGGCCAGCGCCTCAATGCAGCCGCAGGGCTAAAAAGGGCTAAAATCAATAAAATGCTTGTTGCTTCTGAGCCAACTACAACAACAATGACAACAACAACAACAGCCGCTCTGACGACAACAAACGCCGATGGCTTCGCGGACTTCTTTCAATGTACAATTATATTGCTTTGGCTATGCCACACCCTAAAGCCGCTGGCGCTTAGCCCTGGCCACGCCCCTTGTCCGTTTTCTAGCCGCACTGCAACATAAATAGTTGCGTTTTTTTGCAGCCACTTTTGTTGCTATTGGTGTTGTTGTACTTTTTGTGGTGCTGAGCCAGCGAAAATGTTTGAAATTCCTTTGCTAAAGTTTAAGTCGAACCCAACTCGCACGCTCCCTCTCCCTCTCCCCCCTCTCTCTCTCACTCTCTCTGGTGCTTCTAGTGTCCCTTTTTAGTGGCATAAATAGCTGAGAGCATGCCTGAGGCCGCATTCCATGTTGCGTGATCGAGATGCCAGCGAGCTATTATGACAAACTTTGTTAATTGGAAAATATGCGCAACCAAAATGTTTGCCTTTAATCGATTGGACAAGAGAGAGAGAGAGAGTGAGTGAGTCCGTGTGTAGGTGTCACTCTCTCTCTCTTTCTCTGTTTACTTATTTGTTGACAGCTGGTATTTAGGTTCTTCTTAATTCCAATCAAAAATTGACTGCAACGAATCAATCAATCAAATTGGCACAAATTATGTAGAGAATTCTGATTACACACTGCTGCTGCTGCTGCTCCTGCTGTTGCTCCTGCTTCTGCTGCTGTTCATATTTCTTGCTCTGCTGCTTCTTCTCGTTCTTTTGTGCTCAGATATGACCTTATATTAGCCATAAAAGCGCCATAAATTGAGTCTTCTCTGTGTCACTGTATATGGGTGTGCGTATGTGTGTGTGTGTGAGTGTGTATCGCGTCTTTTCGCCACTGCAAAATGCTTTTGTGAAATGCAATTTCTGTTGCCTGTCATTGATCAGGGACAACCTTCTCCTGCAACGTCTCGTTTCTCTCCCTCCCGCTCCTCTGCTGCTGCTCTCCGCCCTTTGCCCTTTGCCCTTTGCCTGCTTCCGCTTGACTTCGTCGAGTGTGGCGCGCTCATCAATATGGCTGTGCGCCAGTGTGACCAAAGCCAATTGTGCAGCCAGCACAGCTGCTGACATGTCGCACAGCAGACGTTACGTTTCCACAAGCACTCTACACACACACACACACACACACCCACATACACCCCTTCCACAACCACTCTTTCGGGCTGGCTCCCTGCACCACACGCCTCGTTAGTTGCCCGTCGCATTCATTTTCCATTTGCCAACAAAACACATGACGACATTTTGTTGTTTGCTCAGTGTTTAGTTGCCTTCTGTTTGTCTCTGTCCCTATCGCTGTCTCTATGTCTCTATGTCTCTGTTTGTGTGTGGGCGTGGCAGCTGCCCCCACCCCACGGCTGTTGTTTTTAATACCTAGGCGCTACGTTTTTAGTGGTTCGTCGTTTCTCGACTTGCCTATTTGACTTGCATTAACTATTGTTTGACCCACTCTTATTTAGCAAGTGCGAGTGATTATGCACACGCAACTGGGCCGTTAGCTTGGCTTGTAGCTGCTGCTGTTATAGGTATGCCCTACATATAGGGTTAAGTTAGCCAAGACTAATAAAGCAGGAAGTAAATGGAACTTTAATGCGGACTGAGAGAGAGAGCAAGAGGCAGTTGGGAATGGAATTAGATGTAATTTGCGTGCTTTTGTATAACTTTTGTTGTGATTTATGTGTCTATTAATGGGTATCTCAGAGTCGTAGCAACTGTGTGCAACAAAGGTCTTAAGATGTGAAAGAGAAGAGTCATTGGATGTGTCAGCAATAAGAGCTAGTATTAAGCTACGAAGCTAATATACAGTTTACAGGGTAACTGCTAGTCGTGCTGGCTGGCAGCTAATCAATTTTAATTATAGCAATTCAACTTGAATTTGATTGAAAAGTAACATAGAAAAAGATTAGAGCTTACTGAATAGCAATATGATTAAATATATCCCTTTACAGGGTAGCTAGTAGTCGAGCTGTTTGCTGGCTCTAATCAAACTCTATAAAATATCATCAAAGTAACTGCGCAAGTCAACTGCTCGACTTCTTTGGCGCAGTCTAGAGACCCTTCTATGCAATGTACAGGGTATCTATCTGTCGTGTCAGCCCCATGCTGGCAGAGTCTTTAATTGTTATGACTGTCGTGCTGGGAGCCATTGAGCGCCTGTTGTTGTCACGGCTGTTGACGCTGCCCGTTGCCAATGACAACCAACACTCGCATGACAAACACTACACCCACTAACACACACACACACACACACACACTGTACTCACACACTTGCATACACTGCAGTACAAAGTATGCTTTCAATCAGGCGCTGAATTGAAAATCCATTAACGAGTACATAGTGCAGGCAGCTGGTCGCTCTGCGGGCGGGGACGGCCAAGTGCAGCCAGCGGGTGGTGCTATGTGCGGTGGGCGTGGCGCGGTGGGTGCTTGCAAGTCATGGCGACGTTCGTTATATTTTCTGCGACAATAAAAACAAATTTGCAACTGCAGCTGCTGAGCAGTTGAGCAGCGAAGCAGCAAAGTCACATGCGAAAAAAAAATGGAAGAGAAAAGAGGAAAGGGGAATCGAAAGAGAAATAATAGTTGCAGGACGAAGGACACATAACCTGCATGCCACAGCACACCACACACACACACGCACACACACACACACACCACACATACCACACACACATGCAAATATTACAACTGCGAGTGCATTTTGAAGTAATTCAAGAGGCAACAATAAAAAGCACAAACTGCAAAAAGAACAGGGAAAAGGTGTGACAACATTTCGAAGGCGAATTCGTAACGTTAACGTAATCAAAGTCAATAAAGTGAGAAAAAGAACGTGCAAAATATAGAAGCGAAATCCCCCGAAAGGAATCCGCAAGCCAAACCAAACCAAAAAATCGAAAGAGTTGAGCCTTATTGACGATGCTAACCTGCGTGTGTCGGCCCGTGTCGGGCAATCTGCCCAAAATGCCGCCAGCCTCATTGATGCCCGCCTCGAGGGCCACCTCAGCGCTCAGCCCCAGCGCCAGCAGCAACAGCAGCAGCAACAGCAACAGCAGCGCCAGCGGCAGCAGCAGCAGCTACGGCAGTGACAGCGGCTTGGGCATGGGCTTGAGCATGGGCATGGGCATGGGCATGGCCGGCAGCAACATCAATGGTTCCCAGAGTCCCACGCGGGTGGTGACATCCGAGCCGAAGCTTAACGTAAGTAAACTGCAAACCATCAACTACACTGAGAGAAATCAAATGCAGTTGAAAGCTAATGTGCGCCTAATTTGATTATTTCATGTTTTATTTCATGATTTATATTCATGTATTATTTCTTTTAGTAGGTGTATCAATATAATATAATAATATTTTGCTATTATATTTTTACTTTAAAAAATGCATAGAATTTATTTAATTAATGAAAAAAAAGGTCTAAAAATAAATGAATTCATTAAATTGAAAATATACGTAAATTAAATAAATATAAGATTAAGTTTATCTTGATTACTCATCGATCTTGTGAGATTTATGATAGTTTAAAATTCTTTAAAATGGAATTTTAAATGAGAACTAGTTCAAAATCAATTCTATTAAGATACTATATCAAAAACTAGACTTGAACTGCTAATACGTACATCTCATTTCTCTAGTGCGGAGCTAGTTCAACAAGAGTTGTAGCTCTAAGCTAGTACAGAGCTGGGTTAAAGCTACCACAGCACGGAACTAGTTTAGAATGGGTTTAATAGCTATGGAAGTCAGCTCATACTCAAGTTTCACTGTGAACCAGCTCAAAATATATTCTAATATGGAACTAGTTCAAAATATTTTCAAGCTCAAAAGCTTGCTTCAACTTCTAATTTGATCTAGTACGAAACTAGTTGGAAAAAAGATTTACGTCTGAGACAGTTTTTACTAATACAAATCTAAAAGTATATTTGAAGTAGATTCTGTTGCAATTTCAATTTGGAACTAGTTCAAAAGTAGTTTCGACTTACACGAAAATATTTGCTGTAAGACATACACTGGGTATGTGCCAAGCAGCAAGCCTCTTACTAAATGACCTAAGTCCTAAAATAATTCAAATGAACTAAATCAAATTCACACGCTCAGCATCTAGTTTTATGTGCAGTGAGCGATTAGCTGCCAAATCTAACGAGGGATGGTTGGAGGTAGAGTCAAGGTGTGGGGTCAACTTTAATCTATTTATGCGAACGTCTCTTTTGTTATTCTCAAATTTTGTTACGTTTTTCTTTCCGTTCTTTCCGCTAGGCCCTAAATAAAAAGGTAGCAAATTAGCTTTCATTTTTCACACACATAAACATAACTTGATTTATGGTGGTATCAGACGGTGTGGGGAAAGCCACCAGACCATGACCGTGACCACGACTCCCACTCTGACTGGGACTGAGGAGGCGACCAGGAGTGGATGTTGACAACTTGACTTGACTTGACACTCGACTCCGGGCACGAATGGAGCTTGGAGCTTTGGCTCTGACTGTGACGCTGCCTCTGGCTCTGGGTGAAGGCAACGATTGCAGATAACGTTTATAAATTGTGGAAATTTCATTTTCACTTTGACGCCATTGATGCGCCCACCCGCCCCCTTGTCGAAGGGTGGCGCCAATGACACCTTTTGAAGCAGCTTATCCGCAGCTGAATCTCTAACGATCTCTGCACACGGACAGAGAGTGGTTGGGTGCGGGTGGTGCGACACCCACTTATGTGTATGACCACTATAATCCACTAATCCCGCCCACTTGTATCATCTCTCTCTCTCTTTCTCTCTCTCACTCTCTCTATTCCCGTTGCAGGTGCCCAGCAGGCTGACGTCAGCCGAGTTGAGGGCGATGGCATTGCGACAGCAGCAGCAAATCGACAGCCAGCACCAGCTGCTGGCCACAAAGGAGCAACGGTTGCGCTTCCTCAAATCGCAGGAGGTGCGCAGCGCGGTGGCCAGCGCCGAGGGGGAGCGACTGCGTCGGCTGCGAGAGCGTGTCGAGGCGCAGGAGTCCAAGCTGCGACGCTTACGCGCGCTGCGGGGTCAAGTGGATCTACAGAAGACCTACAATGTAACACTGAGTGAGTATATGAGCTGAACGCGGTGAGGGGTGAGGGGAGGGAAGGGAAAGTGTAAGGGCAACTACAAAGTGAAGATGGGTCCAATTGAGTTAAGCACCGCATGCACGACAAGCACGCTTAGTGGGCGTGGGCGTGGGCGTGGTCGTGGACAGCCGAGCTGGGACGACTGCGGGATTAACATGTGTTAAAATCGTGTTGAGTGGCGCTACCTCAGCATGCGTGTAACTGTATATGAGTGTGAGCGGTTGTGTGTGTGTGTGCGCAACTTTAATTTATGTATGTGTGGCACTTTGTTGTCCTTTATGATTGCCTGTGGGTGGCTCTTGAGCTGCCCTGCCAAAGATGTTATCCTTGCTGATGGCCTTGTTATAACCTATACCCATTAGAGGTGCATATTATATGGGGTGTTTATGGATGAAAACATATAGCAATCAAAGGACACTAAACAAGGCAATAACTTATTTGTGCAGATGAGTAAGGCGATAATTGATAATTAACGTTTAACTAATTGATTAAGCTCAGGTCTATTTTCTGCAGAAACTTCTGGTTCAGAGAAAGGCTTACTTATCAGCTCTTCAAAATATGCTTAAATACAAGAGAATATTTTAGGTTATGAAATCGATAAATATCGATAATATTGTAGTGTTTTTGAAGACTTGGCTTTAATTTTCTTTTTAAGTTCATCTTAAATTTGTTCCTATAGTTTTTTCATGATCTACAATAACTGTTTAAAATGATTTACCTAAATAATTGTAGTTAGGGCTTATCGAGACTAAATCCAATAAATATTTTAATTGAAAACTTCGTTGAATATATCCAAGTCTGGTTTGCTGAGTATCTTCCAGTCACGCACAGCAGCTTATCTAATTTTTGTTGGCATTGACTGTGCTGGCATTGGCGATTTAGCCACGAAACACAGACACGCCCACCCACACAGACACCCGCTGACTAGGATGTTATGTTAATGAGGTTTCAGTTGCGCCTTGTTGGGCGATAATTAGTTCAGACAGCATCCGACGGATGCGCAGGACCCTACTCAGCGGCATGTGTGACCAGACGTTGCGAATGTTTCTAGGTGTGAATTTCGCAGAAATATGCCGACGATTAAAAGATATTTATATATGTATGTATGGGTATRAAAGGTTAGCGACTTGAATGCAGGCAGAAGGGTAAAAGATGTGGAGAGCAAGAGGCAGGTGAAGGGGGGCCCAAGCAAGAAGAAGTTAAGCTAAGCGGCTTTCTGTAGAGCATATTTAAGCGGCGACCCGGTGCTGCGGACCCGCCTTCAATTAGCCGCGTAAGTGCGCCAGCCTCATTAGGAAATAAGCGACTTCGTGGGGCTTTGAGGCTGCTGCGTGGATGGCCCAACTAATCCGTTTAACTTTTGTGCTTAGGCAATGACTTGGACTCGATCCGGGCGCTCTTCAGTGAGAAGGAGAAGGAGCTCAGCCTGGCGGTGGCCAAGGTGGAGGCGCTCACACGCCAGCTGGAGGAGCTGCGACGCGACCGACGATGTCCTGTCAATCTGCTGGCCGCAACCGGACAGACGGCGGCGCAGGCTTTGCCGCCGCAGGCCTCGCGGGAGCTCGAGAAGCTGCGACGCGAGCTGATGGTGAGTGTGGAGTGGGGAGTGTGGAGTGGGGGGTGGAGTGGCCAATGGGCTAACGGCTAATGCTAATTAAAACTCATTGTTCTCTTTGTTCTTTGGCGCAATCCAGTATCGCAATCAGTTGTCCTTGCAGCAGGATGCACGCTTGCACATGCAACGCGAGGCCCTGCAGCAGCGGCAGGCGGAGCTGCGCTCGGTGGATCAACGCATTTACGAGCTGCAAACGCGCCTGCAGCGCAAAAAGCAGGCGAACACGCATCACCAGCAGCAACAGCAACAGCAGCAGCAACAACAACAGCAGCAGCAACAACAGCAACAACAACAGCAGCAGCAACAACAGCAGCAGCAGCAGCAACAAGCAGCTGCACAGCAACAACAATTGCAGCTACTGGCAGCAACAGCAGCAGCAGCAGCCCAACAGCAGCAACAACAGCAGCAGCAACAGCGTCAGCCTGCCTCCAAGCATGGAGGCGTGGCTGCCTTGAAGCAACAACTGCTGCAGAAGCAGGTCAATCAGCTGGCAGCAGCAGCCGCTGCCGCAGCCGCCGGCCGAGCAGCCGAGCGTGCCATGGCACGGGGCAGCGTCAATGTGGCCGCCGTCGAGCCCTTCATACACACGCCCCAGAAGTCGACGATAACAACGACGGCCAGCTATCTGAGCGCGGGCAACATGCTGAAGCATGCGGCAGCCACGGCCAACACCAATCAGCAGAATCAGCTCATCCAGGATCTGAGTCACAGCCACGTGAAGCTGACCCCGGGCCAGAGTTTCTATCCCAGCAGTGTTGCAGCCTCGGCGGCAGCAACGGCAACAGCAGCAGCAACGGCAGCGAGCAACAGCAGCGAAAGCGACGAATCGAAGCTGGCCAAGAAGCTCAAATCGGAGGCGGAGCTGCGCAAGCAGGCGCAAACGGAGGCCATGGACAGCACGACGCACATTTATGCCGAGGTGGGACCCAAGAAGCGGGATAGAGAGGCGGCAGCAGCAGCGGCAGCAGCAGCAGCAGCAGCAGCGGCGGCAGCAGCAGCGGCAGCAGAGGCAACAGCAGCAACCACAGCAACTGCAGCAACATCCACAACAACAGCAACAACTTCTCCAGCTGCTGCAGCAAATGCCAGCAAAATACCGAAGAGCATCTCGAGCAGCAGCTCCGCCTCGGCGCTGATCAACAAATTGAATCAGCAGGCAAAGGAGTCGCAGGAGCCAACAGCCGTCAAGAAGAACGAGATTGCGGTGACCAGCGAGACGTTGTCCGAGCGCAACACGCAGCAGCAGCTAACGGTGCACAGCATGCCGCTGGGCGCAGTCAGCAAATCCGTGGCCATGGCTGTATCCAATGCAGGAGCCCCCAGCAGCAGCAGCAGCAGCATCAGCAGCAGCGGAACGAAGCCTCTGCAGGTGCAGGTGGCTGTGCCGCCGCGCAAACCCATCAGCAGCGTGGCGCCCACCTCGATGAGCAGCAGCAGCAGCAGCGGAGGCAGTGGCGGCAGCTCCATACCCAAAATGATCAACTACAGCCCCAAGGTGAATCGCGTGGCGCCCAATGTGGTGTCCAGCACATCGGCTGAGCTGCGACCCGCGTTGCCGCCCAAGCCCAGCAAAATGTCGCCCACTGAGCAGCCCAGCGAATCGAGTGGAGCAACAACAGCAGCAGCAGCAGCCACCACATCCGGCAAGGCTCAGGCACAAACAGCAGCGCCGGCCACGCCCAGCTTCGGGCTGCAGTCCCTCAACATCAATGACAATTTGCCCATAAAAGCCAAGCCGCTCACCATACGCAAGCAGCCCATATTCGAGCAGCCACCGCGGCTCAAGGCGCTGCCTGTGGGCGGTGGCCTGACCAAGGCCGGGGCGCAGCAGCTGCCGCGCAAGGCAGAGGCCGGGCAGCAGCAGCAGCAGCAGCCGAAGCAGCAGGAGCCTAGCCGCAGCACACTCGACTCGCCGCAGCACTCGCCCAACAGCAACTCGCAGAGCAGCTCGAGCGTGGATGAGCCCGATCGCCTGGAGCGCACCCAGGCGGAGCTGAGCAACAGCGGGGGCAGCAGCAGCCTCAAGGAGCGCACCAGCAGCAAGCCGAAGCTGGGGCGACGCGTAAGCTTTGATCCGCTGGCGCTGCTGCTCGATGCCAGCCTGGAGGGCGAACTGGAGCTGGTCAAGAAGACGGCCATGCAGGTGGCCAATCCCAGCGCGGCCAACGACGAGGGCATCACAGCGCTGCACAATGCCATCTGTGCGGGCCACCTGGACATAGTCAAGTGAGTGGAAATTTGCCATTCTTTATCTATATATATGTATATATTTATATATCCACCTCATCTCTCGTTCAGATTCCTTGTGCAATTTGGCTGTGATGTGAATGCGCAGGATTCGGATGGCTGGACGCCGCTGCACTGCGCCGCCAGCTGCAACAATCTGAACATGGTCAAGTTCTTGGTGGAGAGCGGTGCCTGTCTGTTTGCCTCGACGCTGTCCGATCATGAGACGCCGGCGGAGAAGTGCGAGGAGGATGAGGAGGGCTTTGATGGCTGCTCCGAGTATTTGTACAGTAAGTTTGTATGGCCTGTGGAAATAGCTGACTCTAAGCTGACTCTCTCTCTCTCTCTCTTTCTTTCTCTCTCTCTCTTTAGGCATTCAAGAGAAGTTGGGCATCTTGCACAATGGCGAAGTCTATGCGGTCTTCTCGTACGAGGCGCAGAACAGCGACGAGCTGAGCTTCCACGTGAACGAGCCGCTGATCGTGCTGCGCAAGGGCGACGATGCCGAGAACGAATGGTGGTGGGCGCGCAATGCAGCGGGCGAGGAGGGCTACGTGCCACGCAATCTGCTCGGGGTAAGTTATACGACATATATATGGCTCTCTGCTTGGCCAGCGGCTAATCAGCTACGTCTCTCTCTGTCTCTGTCTCTCCTGCAGCTATATCCACGTGTGCCGCCGCAGTCGCCGCATTTCAGCGATTAGCAGTTAATACGCTACACCATACTCAAGCGCAAGGCTGGCCGACTTGTGCAGAAGCGCTATATATCCAAGTATATATAGTGAGCTAAGCAGCAGCAGCAACAGCAGCAGCAGCAGAGGTAGGAGCAGCAGCAGCAGCAGCAGGAGTAGCAGCACATTCCGGGCACGTGCCAACAGCTTCATCTCGCAGGACCAAATCTTAGTTACGAGCCGAGCATTATTTATGACAGCCTCAACAATAATTCTTTCCGGTTTACTTTTTCGTTATTTTGTTGTTTTGAGAAAAAGCCACAAGAAGGAAACCAGACGCAGTCACATACGCCCGCCCACCCATTCACTCACGCACACACACCCACACACACGCCCACATATGGCTACACATATGGCAGACGTCGTGTGTGTGTGTGTGTCTGTGTATGTGTGTGAGTGTGAGTGCTGCAAGTGCGCAAATGTGCGCCCATCAACAGAATGTGCAGCGCCTGAGGCAGCAGCTATTTATTATAAAAGAAGAGCAGCTACAATTAGGCAGCAGCCTGACTGCCTGCCAGCCTGCCAGCCTGTCTGCCATATCCTGCTGCCTGCTCCTGCTGCCTGTTCGTTCTGCTCGTTCGCTCGTCTTCTGCTTGCCTGCTGCACACACGTACAATAAATTGAATTTCGCTTAAGCCCCCCTGCTTAGATTAAGGCCTAGACTAATAACATAAGCAATACACACCCAAGCCTTGTCCCTTCCATCCCCTCCAAGCCGACCAAACGAACAACTCGGCCACAAATTGCTTTTATGCATTAAATGAAAATTTGCAAAATTTCAAACTTCAAATTGAAAATAAACTTATGCACTTTGTGGCGTGCAGCAGACGAGTTTGTTAATTGCCAGCAAATGAATTTTACTATAAGCTGTTAGTATTCGAAATCGATTAAAAACTTTGCCTTCATTTTTAAACATTTAGGAACAACAACAAGAAATCGAATGTGATTTTTGTATTGTAAAAAGCGAAAAGAATATTACTTCAAATGTCGTTAATATTGCCTAATAATGTACAGTACTTACTACCTATGACTAAACAAACCGCTTCGTTATCAATTTACGATTCCTAATACTACATATTAAAATTTAGCTTATATATATTCGAATATACATTAATATACATATTTATATGTACGTAATTGCCTAATGCCTACCACCTACTCCTAGCATTAACTAAAATACAAAAAAAAAATACAAATCAAACACACAATAAATTCGAATTGGAAATTGCAAATAGTTTTATTAAAGGGGACACAAATATCCAGTAAAACATGGATACGGCCGAGAATCAGAATCATAATCACTAAGGATCTCCCAAGGATCATTTTGCATACCATTTTGCACTCGTGGGAAGCAATAGTATTGATTGCCATGCAAGGATTTCAAGAAAACTTGACTAAGAATTTATAAAAAATAAAAAAAAATAAAAATTAAAAAAAAAAATTTAAATTTTTTCAAAATTATAGTGTTGCCCTCTAGAGTATGCAATGGAAATGCACTTTTCGACATCACATCACAAAAGTATGCAACAGTTTTATATCAGTTTTCTGTGGCGACACGTGCTGCCCTCTAGAGTATGCAATAAAAACGCATTTTCGACGTTACAGCACAAAAGTATGCAACACTTTATATAGTTGGTTGTGAACTTTGCTAAATTTTCTCCCAATTATTAGCAAGATCTTATACCGTTCAATTACTGCTCTTTTATAAGTAAAAAGTCGGTTTTAATGTATTTCTGTAATTTTATTTCAATTAATTTAATTACAAAGGATAATTTAATTGGTATATATTTGAAGTGAGCTTAACTGTATCTGACTTATGCACTCGAGCGTAACGCAAGGTAAAATATTACTAGGTTTGATGGAAACACGAATTACACACATGCATCTCGTATAATTATTAAGATTAAACAATTCGCTTTCAGTCGAGTCATTGCAAATAAATTACAAGCGAAAATTCGAGAGGTGCTGAATTCACACACTCTGTACATCTTTTGGATTGTATTGGTATGTGTGAATAAAATAAGAGATTACTAAAAATTAATATTCAACTGGAATACGTCAATTACTTATAGGCTTTATTCATCTTAAGTAGCTCTTACCAAGCTGCTAATTGAGACTTAAGAAAAATTATAATTAGTACTAATAGAGCCATAACTTTACAGGGTATAGAGACGGTGTAACAGGCAGCATTAGAGAACTGCGCACTAACTGAACTGCAATCGGAAAATGGCTCTAATGAATTTGAATTGAATGTTTAATTGGTAGCAAAAGATAGTGAGAAACATAGAGTAAACAGCTGGGGTATATAAATATTAGTTGAGTATAAATAAATATTCTATTTCTGAGCCCCTGAGTGGTCGACTCAGTCGTTCGTTAACTGCACCTCGAAAGAGTCTTTCGGATTGGCTGGTCATCTGCTTCTCCCTTGGTGATCATAAGATTGCGCCCGGCAGCACACGAAGATCAAAATTCATTAAATTTATGTGTCATTATTACTGGTTGAATTCGCAGCTGTTGACAACGTTTGTTGGCCTTCATAAATATTCATAAACAAAAATTGTTCTGCTCTAGCTGATAACACGCGTGTTCAATAGTTTCAATATGTGTGCAGCTCATCTCGCTTGATAACACGCATTTGTGATACAGCCGAATCATGGGGCATTTTGAAGGGCTGCGCCACATGAACATACCCTGTGAAATAATATAACGAAAATACTCTGTAATTATTCATATATGTCATAGCTGTCAAGATTTGATTATTTAATTGAGTTCCAGTAGTTGAGTATTGGATAATTTACTAAGAGCATACTTACCGATAAATACCCTGGTAAATACTTACCTTAAATACCCTTTTGCCCATAGCATAATCAAACAACCTTATCGATGTTTAACAGGGTATTCGGATTGAGCGACAAATATACCTACCGCATTTCATAGCCCCGCTTGGCGTCCACACATATTTAATGTGAGACCCGTTGCCTGCAGCATCTCAGTCGTTTGTGAATCGCGACGTGGATCGGTCGAGCGAAATTTGTAAAATTGAATACAAATTAAACATTGCGTTGCATAAATCTACAAAAGTGGGTATTAAAAAGCGAATTGTGAACTGTGCCCAATGGTAAACTTGAATGTCGATAGTAGATTTAACAAATAAACTTCAAACTGGTTTTTGTATAAAACATAAATCGCAATAAATACAAGTCATTCTTGGAAGACTAAGATAGAAATATTTACCGGTAGCTCCTAAATCATAATGACATACAGAGAAGTAGTAAATGAATAAATAGTAAATATTCAGAGTAAACAATGAACAAGCAACTTTAATAAAAATATCTAAACAACCTCATGTTTACATGGCAATTGAAGCAATGCAAACATTAGCTAATTATTACTAATATATAAAGCGAATAGTGAAGCGACTTTACAGGGAATACGGAATGCACTTGCATTAGGGAACTGCGCACTTACTGAGCTGCAAATGCAGTCGACTCGAAATCCATTTGCTGTTTTTGCTGCAATGAATTTGAATTGCAATGAATGTTTAATTGATGTGAAGAGACAGTGATAAATGTGAAATCAACTGATGAGCTTAACATATATTAGCAGAGCTGAGTTTGTTCGACTGTTAAGCTTAGATAGCTTGAGAGATAGAAAGAGGGAGTGAGAGAGAGAGAAAGAGAGAGAGAGCTGTTGGTGAAGTCGTTTAAATAGATTCAAAATTAACCGAAAAGGCTTGCTTTAAGCCTCCAAATTAAAGTAAATGTCAAATATAGCTGTAAATGTTCCTTGCCCTGTTCAATGCCTATTGGGTGTCTATATAAATAATAATAAATATGCTCACCGATTTGAACAACAGATAAGGCGCTAAACTACTTTTCTTTTCGTTGTCGTCATTCGGAAAGCAAACCGACTGTAAATATATGTGAAAATCAATATGTTATAAATTAAAATAAAAAGTGAGAGCATCAGGTGAAGAAAAGTATCTTATATAAATTGTATAAGCTCACATTGCGTGCAACAAAATGAAGCTGCAGTCGTTGAGTCTTGTTTTACTGTGCTGCGCGCTGGCTGCACTGCCACAGGCGAGGCCAGCAAACATTCTGGCTGTGTATGCCTTCCCAGGTAAGCTTCACTGTACTCCGACTGCAACTGAAAGTCTTCTAACTGCTCGTTTCTGACTCAGGCAAGAGTCACTTCATGATGCACACGGCGCTGATAAAGGAGCTCGTGGAGAGCGGACATAATGTGACGATGATCACGGCCTTTTCGCTGTCCGCTCAGCAGCTCGGCAGCAACTACACGGAGCTGCTCATCGAACCAGTCTACGACTTTTGGCATGATGGTGAGAGGGAGAGAGAGAGAGGGAGTGAAAATAATTAAACATTGCAAGACTTACGAAACCTTCTCGATTTGCCACAGTGAAGCTTAGCTTTGGCGTGCAGCATCTGTTCGACCTGACGCAGATGAAGAACTATGATTTCCTCAAGATGTTGGAGATTATTGGACTGAAGACCACGGAGCATGCGCTACGTCAGCCCAAGGTGCAGGCCCTGATCAATGCCCGGCAAACGGAGGGCGTGTTCGATCTGCTGCTCGCCGAGCAGTTCTACCAGGAGGCCTTCCTGGCGCTGGCCTACAAGTACAACATACCCATTGTCACCACCAGCACGCTAGGGTATGAGAACCATATGAGCCAAATGATGGGCCTGATTACGCCGTGGTCCTTTGTGCCGCACGGCTTCATGCCCTTTACCGACCGCATGTCCTTCATGGAGCGAGTGCACAATACGTACGTCTCGCTCTACGAGGACTTTGATCGCCTACTGAGTTACTTTCCCAAAATGGACGCCATCACTGAGCGATACTTTGGTCAAGTTTTTGGTGAGTGCCAACCGATTTCAGCAGACTTAACTCTCTGATTCCACTGCCCGTTCGGCCCACAGCTGAAGTGCCCAAGGTCAGGCACATGGAGACGCAAATCTCGGTCATGCTGCTCAACAGTCACGCGCCGCTGACGACGGCACGTCCCACTGTAGACGCCATGGTGCCAGTGGGCGGCATGCACATCTATCCGCCCAAGCCGC